AGCGATCACATTGACCCGGCAAGTGGACAGATAGGGTCAGGCAACGAACAGCGTGATGCCTATAGACAGCGTAATGGGCCCCCAAATTTCCCCCAAGCAACACTTCCTCAATCAGCGAAGAATGAACTTCGTTTACTTATGAATTCTCTTACTTTTGTTAACAATGGTTCTCGGTCGTCTGTAGGCCCAAAGGTATCCAATTTTGTTGTGTTTTTTGTTGTAAGAAGACTGCGTCCGTCCGGCCGGTTATAGGTCCCTTCGGTGCCTTTAGGTACCCTCGGCATGGTCCATGGGGGATGGTCTCGTGCCTCCCCTCCCCTCCACCCTCTGCATCCGTCACCGGCCCGAGCAACTGAAAAGATGGGGCCCGCCAAGGACATAAGGCCATCCATTCAAGTAAAACATACTCACGGCGCAATGTGTAGGGCTCTGGACGATGGAGTGCGCCCGAGCAGTTTTACATATAGGGCCCCCCTCAAGAGCGTGGGGCCCTCCACTCAAGCAGAAAGTATTTATGATCCAGTGCAGAGGACTCCCAAATGATCCACTGTGCCCGAGCAAGTTGGCATGTTGTAGAATCGTCCGCTCCCGCAGTCCGACCAAATACTAAGTGATGTGTTAACGTGAGTATTTGCCCAATACCTCGGTAATAACAACAATAGCAATAATATAACGTCCGAGGCGTCCCAACACGTCGCGCCCCCGCCATGCGCCACCACCCCAAGCCAACTCTCTCGCGCAACTGTCACTTGCCTGGCGCGCAGGCGCCCTAAACAACTGCCATACACCACACATATAGGGCCCCCGTCAGGAGCGTGGGGCCTCAATTCAAATAGGAAGTACCCAAGACCCGATGTAGAGAGCCCCCGAATGGTCGGGTGTACCCGAGCAGGTTAACAAATAGGGCCCCCACAAGAGCGTAAGGCTCTCCATTCAAATGGGAAGATACGAAGACCCTATGTGAATGGCCCCAGAATGATGGAATATGCCCGAGTAGCTTATCAGAAGGGGACCGACAAGGGTGTGGAGCCCTCCATTCAAATAAGAAGTGCCCAAAACCCAGTGCGGAGAGCCCCGAAAGATGGAGTATACCCGAGCAGATTATCAGGTGGCCAAGACAAGAATGTAGGGCCCTAAATTCAAACGCCAAGACCCAATAAACAGGCCCCGAACAACCCAGTGTGGACGAAGCGGCGAACAGATCGGGTCCCCGACAAGTGTGTAGCACCCTCCATTCAGATAGGAAGGACCCAAGACAAAATGTGGAATGCCCCCGGATATTCGAATGTGCCCGAGCAGATTAACAGATGAGGCCCCGGCAAGGGCGTAGCGCCTTCCGTTCAAATATGAAATACCCACGACACGATGTGGATGGCCCCGAATGATCGAGTGCGCCAGAGCAGGTTGATAGATAGAGTCCCCGAAAAGGTCCCCCCATTCCAATAAGAAGTACCCAAAATCTAATGAAAAGGGCCCCTAATGATCGGGAGTGCCCGAGCGGGTAAACAGATAATGTTCCCAAAAAGAGCGCAGGGACTTCCATTCAGATAGGAAGCATTCAAGACCCAACGCAGAGGACCCCCGAATGATCCAGTGCGTCAGAGCAGGTTAACATATAGGGCCCCCACCAAGAGCGTAGGGCCCTCCAATGAAGTAGAAAGTACCCAAGAACCAATGTAGGGGGCCCCCGAATGATCGAATGTGCCCGAGCAGGTTAACAGATAGGGCCCCCCCCGCAAGAGCGTAGGGAGCATTCAGATAGAAAGTACATTCAGAAAAGAAGTACCCAAGACCCAGTGTGGAGAGTCCCCGAACGACTGGGTGTGCCCAAGCAGGCCATTAGAAGGGCCCCCGACAACAGTGTAGGACCCTAAGCAAGTGACAGAGAATTGGAAACGCCCTAGACCAATGTAAAATACCTATGATCATATCGCAAGTGCGTCGGTAGGTTAACCGAGATCCACGTAAAGGGCCCCTGAGCAACCGAGAATACCCCGGCAGGTTAAGATATGGGACCCCGGCTATAGCCCACAGAGTCTTTTCGGCGAATGGAAGAGATCCGTGGAAGGGCCCGTGATTGACAAGAGTGCCCCGGCACGTTAACAAGAAGGGCCCAACAACAGCGCAGGGCCCTCCGAGCAAATGCAATGATCCAAATGATCCTGCAAGTGGACATATAGGTCCCCGGAAAGGGCATGGGGCCCCTAGACAGTGTATAGAGGGCTAAGATTTCCTGTTCACGACTTTTCCAGTCAGTGAATAACTTTTTGACTTCTCATAAGCCATTCGCTTTCGCTTATAACTGTTCTTGGTAGCCCGAAAGCCCAGAGATACCCAGTTTGGTTGCGTTTTGTGTCAAAAACTGCGCCTGTTCGGCCAGCCATCGGTCCCCTCGGAGCCAGTGGGCTCCTTTGGGGCCCAATGGGAGGGGGAATGACCCTGTGTCTCCCTTTGGATCCGTCTCTGTGGGAGACAACCTGTACTGCAAATGACGTTTTAAATTGAATTATTTGTCAAAAAAGATCTACAGGCAAAATGGGAAATACACACATTAAAATTGGATTCCACATGAAGAACAGGGAAAATAATACTTTCCGTCACCCAATCTTTATAGAAGCTCCGCCATCACTGGGCATGACGTGGCAGCTGGAAGACGGGAGACGTAGGATAGGTGGTAACAAGACAGAACAAGACAGGTAGGCGCCCGGGTCAGTATGCGAAAGGACAAGTTGAAAGAGGACAGTGGCGAAGATAACGGCACAAGACAGAAGATGACAAGGTAGAACAGCATCCGTCATTGGAATGTCACGAAGCACTGAGCTGCTGAGGCCATATAACCCTGTCATCAGTCATCTGCCCCTCACCCCAGCAGGAAAAGTGGGCACCGTGGGGAATGGAAACCCGTACCTCGTGCAGGACAGCAATGGAGGTTACATGGCAGGACAGGACAGAAACATCTAGATGAAATGTTTCTTATATCCTTACCCCAATTACAAGATGAGCCTCGGCTCACGTACTCCCCATTTTGCCCCCCCCCCCCCTTTCCATCCAGCACTGGCGAGTGTCTTCATCATCGCCCCACATGTAACACCCCTGTGTTCCCCTGGATGTGGAGCACACGACGGCGATCTACGACCGGCGCGGAGGGGGGGGGGGGGGGGGGAGGGGTAGGCGGCGATCAACGATTCCGCGAACCACAAACGGCGGGTCTAGAATGCTACGTTGACGGAACCATACATCATAAGTACTTGCAACAAAAAAAAAACCGCATAGAACTACGCTTCAAACTGCACAAGGGAACGCGCCTGTTCAAGTTTTGTGTCGATGCAGGACATGGTCTACTAAATATGAGTATGCAAAGCTGGACAATGTCGATGCTCAGGATGATTTCACCTTTGTCATGAAATAATGGGGATAAATATCAACCAAACAACAAAAAAGATTAACCATTCGCGATATCACGTTGAGACCAATTCACTGGTGTTTTTTTCGCTAGACTTAATGTTTTCTAGTTTGAAAACGGCAGGGGCATAGGTTTGTCGCACCGATCCCCACTGTTAGTTCGTCTTACGAAAAACGGCGAATCAGGGCGAAGGTTACTAATCACCTGCGTTCCTTCTTTCAAAGCATCGGCCATGTTCATGAGCACTGAGTACAAATGCAACAAACTAACAGCCTCAGATTGCAGGGTGTAGTTCCCGATTCAGTCGTAGTGTCCCGCCCTTCTCTTAGACTCCAGCCTCCCTTACTTTGCGAACAAAAGGGGCAAATTCGCAAAAAATCCGTTTGGTGGCATACCTTGGGGTTGGTCTCGTAGATCATTGTTGCTCAGTTCCCCAAACAATTTATTTCGGAAAACACACCCCTATCACGTTATCTGCATCGAGTGCCATCACGAATGTCGTGACATGTGGCGTTTTCTAGACGAACTCAAACACAAAACCAAATGTTGCACGCGTGAGGTTTACCCCCCCCCCCCGCCGAATTTAGAGAAGATAATGGGCTAAATTCGTGGACAAATCTATTCATTTAATGAAACAACACCCATATAGTTAGAGTGCAGTTTGTTCTAGATAAGTCCTTTAAGAGCTACTTTGTGCGGTTTTGTCTCACTCTCTACATAGGCAGATCATGGGGGGGGGGGGGGGGCACGGAGCCATGGCCCCTCCAAAACCTTTGAGAGTGTGCTTTTGCCCCCCCCCCCAAGCATTCCAGGAACTTCATAAAAGTTTCGTCTACTTACCGTCTGTTTTAACTTAAACTGTTTTAACTGTTTTGTTTTAACTTTCGTTTAAGATTCAAAAGCACTTCGGTGCTTTTTTCGATTTTGAATGGTGTCCCTACTAGGTACTCGCGAGAGGCACCATGCAATGGAACTCTGATCCCACACTAGCCAGCTGGCGACGAACGGTTGCCCCCCCCCCCTAAAAAAAACTCCAGGCTAGATCCGCCCCTGATTCTCCTCACTGTTCCTCACCCCTATTGATCGTGATAGGCACGAAAGCCTTTTATGTCAAACCCCAGGCACTAGGCTTACAGGATCAGTTGGTGGCATTCTGACCACAGCCGCACATTTGAAATTACTTGGAAGTAATTTTAAAAAAGTTTAACTGTGACTGCTACTATGCGGACTACGGCTGACTGTACTACTATAACTGGCTATGCAATTCGCCCACCTCGCTCAGCATAGTTGCCTTATGATCTCCGAGCTGACTTTAAGTACTCTAACGACTACGCTGCCAATGCGCTGTCGCGCTGTTGTTATAAGGCCTTGGCCGCCACCACGTCGCGCGCTTGCAGCGGCTTATAATGTTTGTTTACGCTTGGCATTTCGAGGACCTGACAACCCAGTGAGAAAATGTCTCTAATTTGGTAGCTTTGCAGCAGAATTTCTTTATCATTGCCATTTTCATATCTACCAAAATAAGTACGTCAGCCGGCTGTTGCTATGGAAACGGTGCTATCGCATCCTCTGTTTATAGGGCGAACCAAGCGTGAGTTCTGGAAGTGGGCAGGTGGCCCGATATATGCACGGATTTTCGCTCCAGACTTAACAGCATGTCAACTGAAGAAAGGACACCGACGAAGAGTCTCCAGCGTCTCCGGATGTAAATCAGTCTAACTTATTCGAAGCACGGGACAAGGAACTAAAAGCCAGTGGAAAAGTAAGTTCATAGGTGCATCCCAGTATTCATTAATGTACCTGTGATTGAAAACGAATGCGGTGATGCCTTACGGACGTGAAAGTCCGTAAGGCATATCTGTTTTTCATATATTTTTGGGGAGCTCGGAGACGTGTTTCCCAATTTTTATGACATTCGCCTCGTCATCTATCCATAGTCAAAATAAAACACATTTTGGTAGAGGGACGGGATTACAGCAGAGCCTTTATGATCGTTGTAGGCCAGGCGAAAAAAAAACGGGACATGTTTTTTTTTTATTTCGGACTTGATGAAGGGCCGCGAGAGCATGAGGTCAGATATACTTTAGTCAGCTAGAGTTAAAGTTCTGTTTTTAACTTCTCAGATATTTTCGGCCCCCAAGATATTCGGCTTTCCAGGTTTGTTGGTTTTGGTTTTTCCCTATTCTTCGTGCCATTCCACGCCGTGCTGTATTTTTACCTAGTTTTAAAAAAAGAGCTGTATTCTCTGACCCAGAAAAAGTCATGTTCTCTACATCAGGAGCACACGACCCGACTGCGTTCAAACTTTTAAAACAAAATCAATACTTGCATCTAAGTGGCTCAAGGTACCAGGCTTCAGACAATTCCGAGGTATGAGTGGTTATATTTCAGGTCCAGCAGCACGATTCGTCCCATTCGTCCTGGAACGCCCCACGCTTTACGGGCCCTATAGCTGTTGTCACTTGGCGTGGCGTGGAATAGCGTGTCCTAACCATGGGACACATCCTATAACGATCACATTTCAAAGGAAGCTGGCAATCCCGCCCCACTTTAGTTGTAGAGTTTCAGAGGCATGATTTTGTACACTCGACAGGGGTCAGTTGGTACGCAATAGGACGTATGACCGAGAACATCATGGGGCTGGACCCTACTCATAGTGTTCACCCCTGTCTGTCGCCCAGCGACCAAACTGCGAGTGCACAGATAAACTGTGCCCCTGGCCGCGGGTGGACGGGTGCGTATGCGATCTGCTGAGAGCCTATTGCGGCTAGGGGCTGACTTGTGCCCCCATCGGACCATCTCGCTTGGGAGTGCTGAGCTTGTACCACCTCGGCATCGCTTTCCGCCCCGCGACAGGTGACCTGGCGCGCGGGTGGGTGTGGCCATGTCGAATGCATCGATGCCGCCGCTGGTTAAAGGGAGTGTCCCACCTCAGGGAATATTAAAAAAAAGAACTCAGTGGAAACATTAGGACTAGTTACGTCTTGTAATAGCACTGGGTAGCGCAATCGCAGCACCGTCAAGACTAAGAATATAAATTTTAATAATTATTGTGTCCAAATTACGGAGTCAGCGTCCTGTAACAGCACTACGCTTCTTCCCTGCTCTAATACCACCATCGCCATGACAACCGTCATGGCATCTCCGCTGGTGCGAATAAAAGAACGTTTTAGGTTGACCCAGCGGACGGCAAGGGCCTGTTACTGGGGGCACATCGGTTGAAATTTGAGTCAATGCGCCACATGGATCATATAATGCTCCCATTCCCACAGCCAAAGTGCGCCTCGAAAAGAGCCGCCGTGGTAAACGTCCTGGGGGAGAAACCAAAGTCATTGTATAGCGTTTCATTGAGTTGGCGGAATAATAGCTTCATGTTTGCGTATATTTTTGTCCAAACAGAGTGTTCCAAGTTTTCGAACATTAAAGGAAATGTTTCACGTCTTAATGCAGTTTTGAACTGAAACAGCCACATGAAAGACCTTTCGGTGCTGTTCACGGTCCTGCCCTTCCTAAGGGCTAAGCTCTGGTTTCTGAGCTGCACGCCCGCAAAAAGGGGAGAAGTATACATGGAGAGTATTTTAAAGCCATCTTCGCATACATGACGTCATAAAAACCACATTCAAATTCTTTCATTCCATAAGCCATGCGGCGTTCAAGGCCAAGAAAACAGAATTGTAGAGACGTTCATATCCGGCGTTCGTGAGCGTGATTTCCAGAAATAACTGTCGTGGACTGGTTCTCAATCAATCTTGCGCAAGGTACGATGACGTAATCAAACTATGACGCGTTAATTTGTTTGTTATAGAATTTGTTAAGGTCATAGTGGTCAGTAGGAAATCAAATAAAATTTCTCCCGCAGGGTCGGCTACTTCGAATCGAAATTATTAGATACTGATGAAATCGCACGCGTCCAATGTAACAACAAGTACCAATTACCAAAAAGCTGGGTACTCCCTTTGATTTCCAGCGCACGTGGCTGCACCGCCTGTACGTGGTGGCGTCGCTGGATCTGAGGTACGAGGAACCGGACGACATACAGCGGCGGGCCTCCATTGTCAAGTCACAGGTACGCAGCCGCCGGCGGCCGTGCGCTGAGGCTCAGCTCAGCGGGGGCCAAGTGGACATACCGATCGTCGTCGCTCCAGTGTATCATATTGGGCCCCCCTCCCCCATGCCTCTATGCGCCTGATCCTGTTGTGTCGTGCCGTGATCCTTGTATGTCGGGATCTGGCGCGGCCGGCGGCTCAGATGATGCGTGCCGTGCCGTGCCGTGCCGTACCGCGCCGTGCCGCGGCGCGACGTGCCGTGCCGTGCCGTGCCGTGCCGTGCCGTGCCGTGCCGTGCCGTGCCGTGCCGTGCCGTGCCGTGCCGTGCCGTGGCGTGGCGTGGCGTGGCGTGGCGTGGCGTGGCGTGGCGTGGCGTGGCGTGGCGTGGCGTGGCGTGGCGTGGCGTGGCGTGGTGTGCCGTGGCTGTGGCGTGGCGTGGCGTGGCGCCGCTCCTCTCTGACCATCCCTGGAGCCGACAGCTGGATGACTTCGGCACCGAGTGTGAGCAGCAGATACGGCATATCTACAGCGGCTATCGTGAGGAGACCGCCTCGGGGTTTCTCATCATCTACCCCAAGTTTATGATCCACATCCTGGAGGTACGTCTGGTGACGGCTGACGGCCTTCCGACCCGTTCTCCCGGCTGTGCTCTGTGCTCTGTCGATGCTCGGTGCAGTGCACTGTCGCGGTGTGGCACGGTCCGTCCTCCCGTCCGTGCTCTGTGCTCTGCTGATGCTCGGTGCAGTGCACTGTCGCGGTGTGGCACGGTCCGTCCTCCCGTCCGTGTTCTGTGCTCTGTTGGTGTTCGGTGCAGTGCACTGTTGCGGTGTGGCGCGGTCGTCCTCCCGTCCGTGTTCTGTGCTCTGTTGGTGTTCGGTGCAGTGCACTGTCGCGGTGTGGCACGGTCCGTCCTCCCGTACGTGTTCTCCTCTAGCGTCATAAAAAAAAACAGCGATCATGCCCTGTTTAGAGCTCGGAGGACGCGCTGGTGGCCTACCTGAAGGAGCTGCGCAGCATGACGCAGCAGGGGGAGCCCAAGGTGCTGGAGGCCAGGGTGCTGCTCATGTCACATGACATTCCGGAGGTGAGGCTGCCGCCCAGCGGCATACCAGACATGCGGGCAACATTTCTGGCCGGAAAGTATCAGCTGTCCGACCGTAGTGCAGGGCAAAAGCCGCTGCGATGGGTCGAAGTGTCGCCGTGTTGGAGAACATCTGCTGGATGGATGTGTGAATAGAGTTAGCAGAAGTGTGTTCGGGAAGGTTTGCATGCATAACTATGTGGGAGCACATCGCTACACATGAAACGGAGGCTGTTGCACAGACATTTTGATTCAGTGGTTTCTGTGTCGCGACTACATGGACAGGCAAGTGTTTTCTTTTCGTTTATCTGAGGTGGACACGACTGCTTATACCGGAAATCTGTGATCCCATCTGCGTGCTGTTACGATGCGACCACTGCTTGCCAGAAGTGGTGAGTCGTTGCCGCATGCCATGTGTGTTGCGTTGGATTGCCGGCCGGCTTCCGTGAGTGGCCGCACTCGGCTGCTGGGACTGTATGACGTTGCCTGCCTCTCACGCTGGCAGGAAGGGCAGATAGCGCGCGGGATCTAACCCCGTACCTCTGGTCTCCCAGACTCAGTCCGGTCATCACGTGAGGCCCGTGGGTTGTTGGATTGACCAGGCGATCTGACCCATTCGCTGTCCCAGCAGCGTTTGTTCGAAGCCTGGTCGTTCCGAAGTATCGTCGCCTCTTCCCGGGAGCAGCTGGACTCGAGTCTGAGTCAGAAGAAGGCGGCCACCGGCTGCTTGAGCCAGCTGCTGGGCCTGGCTGTCCACCTCCGCAAAACGCCGAAGGTGAGCCGCAGCGCTCCGGCATGGCCTACCCAGTGCCAGGACTGCTGCAGAAGGCTGCGGAAGGCAGCGGAAGGCTGCGGAACGCTGCGAAAGGCTGCGGAAGGCCGCGGAAGGCTGCGGAACGCCGTGGAACGCCGCGGAACGCCGCGGAAGGCTGCAGAAGGCCGCGGAAGGCTGCAGAAGGCCGCGGAAGGCTGCCATTGCCCTCTCTTTCTTTCTCTCTTGCTCTCTTTCTCTCTTTCTCTCTTTCTCTTTCTCTTTCCCCCTTTCCCTCCTTCCCTCTTTCTCTCTCTTTCTCTCTCTCTCTCTCTCTCTCTCTCTCTTCTCTCTCTCTCCTCTCTCTCTCCTCTCTCTCTCTCTCTCTCTCTCTCTCCTCTCTCTCTCTCTCTCTCTCTCTCTCTCTCTCTCTCTCTCTCTCTCTCTCTCGCGCACGCCCGCGTGCCGCGGAAGGTCAAATGCGAGCAGACAATAGCCGTGGGGAAGATCGTTAGTCAAAGTAAGCTGCCATTACGGAGGCAGGCTCCCCCGCTTCGCCGGCATTCGGGTTACATCCCTGTTATGCGTCTAACTTGCTGTGTGCTGTCTGTAGCCGGGCAATGCTGGAAAGCGGGACCATGCTGTCTGAAGCGTGCGGTGCTCAGTCCTGACACCCGGCTGCGGGGAGTGGGATTGGGAGTGCGCTGGGGGATTCAACTCGGCCTGCTGCCAGCTTCCTTGAGGGATATCCGATGTGTGTGTGTGTGTGTGGTGTGTGTGTGTGTGTGTGTGTGTGTGTGTGTGTGGTGTGTGTGTGTGTGTGTGTGTGTGTGTGTGTGTGTGTGTGTGTGTGTGTGTGTGTGTGTGTGTGTGTGTGTGTGTGTGTGTGTGTGTGTGTGTGTGTGTGTGTGTGCGTGCGTGCGTGCGTGCGTGCGTGCGTGCGTGTGCATGCGGGCGGGTGTGCCTTCTCGCCAAATGCGGACAGGGCGATTTTTGTCCGTGTGCGAGTGCCCACCCGCCCGCACTGTGCTCTATAGCGCCATGGCTCGGAGCAGCCGCTGTAACATGACCGTGACCTTCGAGGCCGGGTATATAGACCCGGGCCAATGTTCCCAGATTGACTGCTGACGTGCGTGCATGCGCACGCCCACACAACGCGTGCGCATGCGCGTGGCGTGTGAGTGTCGGCGTAGGGATGCACGTTCAGTGCGCGGCCAGCTGGGGGTTATTTACGTTGAGGAGGGGTCGATGAACGCCCAGTCTTTGTCATTATATGAGATACGCGATGCAGGCGAACTTGAAGAACGCCATGGACCTGCTGTCGGAGCGGGTGCCCGAGCTGCTGCCCAGTGAGGACCTGCTCACCCTCCTCCTGCAGCATGAGACCTACCTCAGCGTGGAGGACTTTCTCAGCCTGTACTACTCGGAGCTCTCCTTTGTCGAGGATAGCGGTCAGTGGGCTCAGGGAGCGGGTGCAGGCACAGCGTCATTGCGAACAAGCCATCACCATTTCGTATTGTGTGTGTGGTTTTCACCCTGTGCCTACTGTTTTGGGCGTTGCCAACAGCAATGCGAGTGACATGTCAGACCGCGATACCGGCTCGCGATGCCTTCGTGCTCGAGCTTTATACCGCACACTCTGAAATGTCAGAGTGCGTCGGGCGCCATAGCTGACGAAAACAGTGAATGGATACAACCCAGGCTGGCCCAGACTATTATTTATGGCGTTCTTTTACGGACAAGCCCTGCACGAGCGTGCGGCTGCTCGTGCAGGGCTTGTCCGTAAAAGTAAAAGTATTAGCTGCTGACGGTCGTCGTTTTCAGAGCTGGTATGGCCGCTGCCGTCGCACGTGTTCCCATACAATAACTAGTCGGGGCGGCCGAGCCCACAAGCAGGGCGTTTGCACGGCTTTGCGGCACCCCGCGGAGGACAACAGAGCGCTGCCGTGGATACCGCTCGTGGAAGAGTGCAGCGGAGGACAACAGAGCGCTGATGTGGATACCGCTCGTGGAAGACAGCAGCGTGGACCACTGGAATGGCACGCCGCTGGCACGCCAACTTCCCGAGCGGAAGCGGCTCGTTTGGCAGCTGCTGGAGTGAGTGTCTTCTAGGTTAGTGCTGTAGTCTGGTGAGGTGGAGGTAGCTGTGTCTATGATCATTTGAAACCGCCAGAACGATGATGGCCGTATCTCAATCGCAGAAGAGAGAGTCATTGGGCGAGCCCATTCAGTACTGGTGCTGCTCATGCTCCGGCTACTTTGTGTGGAGTGGTAGAAGTTCAATCGTGGGATTTTCTTCTAACTAGAAATATATCTGTTAAGCTTCTCATGTCATTATTTTGCCCCTCCTCGTTTATCCATAGACCAACTGCGCCGCAAAAGAAACGCGATATGCGTATTTAAAAAACCCGTGCGATGCGACTGGAATCGAATGAAAGAAACGAGAACGCGCCATTGGTCTTCAGCTAACGAGTAAGTGAAATGAGTGGTGGCGCCAGCCGAAGGGATAGGTAGCCCAAAGGTTAATTGGAACTACCGGGTTAAGTTCCTGGGGCTATTGGTACTGAAATTAGCAAGACGTTTTATCCCGAAATGCAGCTTCGAACCCAAGTAAATCCCGAATGGTCAATAAATGTGTACGTAAATTCATTAGTCACATTACGAGTCCATTACCAGTGAGTTGAATTCGGTGACCCGATAACTTCACGATTCATGAATGGCGATCCAACGAGGCTTTTCCAAATCTGCTGCAGGCTGAAAAAAACATTCTGGGATAAAAGCTGTTTTTGGACTTGCTCATTTCAGTTGTGTCTCTTTCAGCGAGCTAAGTTACCGCCGTGCTACGCCGATGTGTTTGCTATGTGTATGTCGATGGCTACATGTCGTTTCCCTCGCGGGTCGATGCGCTTACACCAAATCTGTGTTTACTACAGCCAGAAGGCAGATCTCCAACATAAATCAAACATGTGGTTCGACGCAGGAACACTGGCAGAGCATTAAGTCATCCAAACATCAGTGACGTAATTGGAGGCGGAAATGCGCAAAGCTCGGCACAGCACGCACATTTGTTCATTCCAGGCTTGACAAAAACGTCATTCGGATACGTACGTGGAATGGACGTCATAAATGTCGGCTGCTATGATCACAACGGTGCCAAAACGCATTTGCCAAACTAAATTGCGTTGTTGACAGGAAGAAGATTTGTGCCTTTGGTTGAAGAAAGCGCTCCACATTTGTATAAGGTTTTGAACTGCACTAGTCATCTCGAAGATCATTTGGTGCGGTTCACAGTCCTTTCCTTCCTAAGACTTATAACCCTCATTTCTGAGGTACACGCCCGCGAAGATGCGCACACTGTTTCGTGCAGACTAGTTTAAGGCTTTTCAGTCTGTTGACGCCATAGAAAAGTAATTCAAACCATGCCACCTCCAAAACGTCACTCAAACGATGACGGTACGGCGTCCAAGACCGAGGAAAATATCACCATCGGGTCGTTCATATCTGGCGTTCCTGAACACGATTTCCACAGACAACGGACGTCAATTCGCCCGCGATCAATGCTGTGCACACTGCACAAGATTCAAAATCGAGTCGCGTTTTGTGGTACATAATACACGACGTTGGACATGGTTACTGCTTGTTACGGAAATAGGACCTTTAATGAAAAAACTTAGGAACAACGCCACAACCGAGCATGTGAATACAACCGAATGCCTAATATCATGAATAAGTATGCAAGAGCAACACGAGAAAAGGCGAGAGCACGAGCACATAACGATATTTGGTTCAGCAAACGCCGCTGGCACGGCCACGGCGTCATGGCTGCCTGCCGCGAGACTGAAGTACTAAAAGGACTGCTGGGGTGACAATTTCACACGGTTAGTTTGGCAACATCTGGACGTCAAACAAACGTTCCATGACGCAACCAATCAATGATGTATTGTGGAGCATATCTACTAAATTTTGTTGTCGGGAGCAGACTTTTCCACTTAAAAACATGCTGATAGCAATAAGTGAGCGTATTTCATCATACCTCGTGTTTGATTAAATATCTTATTTTTTATCCGCAATATCAGCATTTTTTAAAGTCTGAGTCGATAACAGCCTATACTGGAGTCTACAATATTTCTGAACGGTATATGCCTGTGAAACCTTTCGTGTTCGGCTGGCTAGAAAACGGAGATACAGAGATATGTAACATACGCGCTTCGTCAACACGATAGCATGACATCCGCACAGAAGATTTGAGCGTGCCCTCAGTCTCACCACACAGTTCTCCCCCTCGCATGCCAAAGGAAGGGAGACACATCATCTCGTGGCAGTGTATTAGCGGAAGAATGTGCATGACGTAACCGTGCCATCCCACACATGCATGTGGACTATGTTGTGTTGGAGAAAGAGAGTTTAATGGCAGGTTTCTTCTCATCAACGCCCACAAATGAAAATCTGTCACGTACTCGTAAGCAGTTACAGTTGGCCTGAACGGTTGCTGGTCGCCGAGTGCCTCAGGCAAGAAACTAAGCCGTGATCAATGACCAGCAAGCTGGAGGAACGCAAAAACTTCTAAGACGAACTTGTGAAGATTTTCCTTCAACAGCCAAAGGTCAGCCTTGGGGTTGCCAACCTTGCCAGCAGAATACCTGATGTAGAAATGGACATGAATGAAGGACAGTGCGGTCGAAATCCAGCGGAGGGAAGCCAACATCCGGGGAGGAGGTCCGAGTCAAATGTATCAGAGGAACGTCACAGGCAGCTATGGTATCCCGAACACGCATCTAGACCGAAACTGCCGCCGGCACGAGCCCCTGGACTTGGTGGCTGCGGCGGGCGGCACGGACACGCCGAGGGGGCCTGTGCCGGGTGCCGTGTGACGTCATCACCACAGCGTGCCGACGGCGGGCCGGTGGGCTTGCAGCGCCTGACCGGCTCGTGCAGACCGGGTCCAGCTCACTGGGCCAGCAGAGCGCGAGCACAGCCTGCCGCTGAATGGCGAGGGGAGCCCGAGAGGACCGACGTCTGGTAATCACCAACTCACTGGGCCAGCAGAGCGCGAGCACAGCCTGCCGCTGACGGGCGAGGGGAGCCCGAGAGGACCGACGTCTGGTAATCACCAACTCACTGGGCCAGCAGAGCGCGAGCACAGCCTGCCGCTGACGGGCGAGGGGAGCGCGAGAGGACCGACGCCTGGTAATCACCAGCTCACTGGGCCAGCAGAGCGCGAGCACAGGCCGTCACTGACGGGCGAGGGGAGCCCGAGAGGACCGACGCCTGGTAGTCACCAGCTCACTGGGCCAGCAAAGCGCGAGCACAGCCTGCCGCTGACGGGCGGGGGGGGGGGGAGCCCGAGAGGACCGACGCCTGGTAATCACCAGCTCACTGGGCCAGCAGAGCGCGAGCACAGCCCGCCGCTGACGGGCGAGGGGAGCCAGAGAGGACCGACGCCTGGTAGTCACCAGCGAGCCGCCAATGTAACATGTCTCACATACCGCCAGTGTTTAAAGAACGTGTTTGTGCGGTGTTCATAAAGTAGGGTGAAACTGGCATAGACGTTGTAATTGCGGATTTTTACTTCGAAGCTTCATTTTATCCGGAGAGAAAATGAGCTTTTAGAAGAAATGCTACACATTTGCAGATATGGAGGCAAACATCAGATATCATGGAATAAGCTAACTTATAAGTATTGGCATACTTTAAAGAAAGTGTCTCATCTTTTGGGGCACATTTAAAAATCATACTTAAGTGAAATCTCAGGACCAGATAGTCTTATCATAGCATTGGGTAGTGCCATTGCAGCACCGTCAATACATAAGGGTATCAATAGGTCATCATAACACAGGCCTTTTCATTATTGTCGAGCTTAACATACGCTGTGAACGCTTTGTAACAGCACTACGCTTCACCCCGCTGTCGCGACTACCGTCGTCATGACAATTGCCGTGGTGCGATTGGTTCTGCCGTGGTTCTGGTGCGAACAAAAGGGCGTTTGTGTACGTCTCAGCGGGCCGCACGGGTCTGCTACCGAGAAGCGCTTTGGTTAAACTTTGAACCAGTGCGCCACTACACACCATATGATATTCCCATTCCCAAAGCCGAAGCCCGCCTCGAGAAGATCCAGTGTGGTAAACGCCATAGGGGAGCATTCAAAGGCAAAGTGAACGTTTCGTTGAATTCGCGGAATAATAGGCTAATGCTCGCATGTCTTTTTGCATAAACAGTGTTTCAAGCTTTTGTAGCATTTGTTACGCAAGCGCTTTGACAAATTAGTGTATTACAAGCATAACAGAACATACCTGTTAGAAAAACAAGGCGAATTAAATGTAGTACTTTCATGGTGATGAGCAGACAGCATATTCAGATCTCTGCGCTGTGTCGGCTGCTTAAAATCAAAATTCAAAGCCTTTGATGAGGATTTCGAGAAAACCGGTGCTACTGATCAAATCGTGTGCGTCAGGTGCAACGATAAGCGGGACGTTCAATAAAAGGTGGGATGCTCCCTTCAGTGCTTGATGCGTGCGAGCTAATATCGTTTCCACGCATGAGTGATGCCAGGCGCGTGATGCACGATGCCTGTCTAACTGAAATCGTCTGCATGTATAAGTGATGCTTGATGGCTTTTTGCGCAAAATCGCTTGCATGCCTAAATGATGCGCGTGGCACGCGCGATGCCTCTTTATTTGCATTTGTTGACATCTACCCGTGTTTTACGCATTTTAAGTCTCAGTTGGATACACACTGTATTGTAGCCACAACTGGCCATTGCTCCATTTTTAATCTCTGAATGTTAATGATTTATAAATCTTGCTGCTACTTGCAAACAACCGGCTTGCTGCTTTAAAAAAGGTGAAAAATCGAGTAGTGTCGCAGGCAATTTTAGGATAACTACTGATAATTGCTTCGGTAAAGGCTTGTAGTAGAAATATCAATACATCTTTCACTTAGTTTTAATACTCCTTTCACCTGGTTACTCTATGAGGAACAAGGCTAGCATTACTGTCTTCTCTATAAC